TCTCAACTGCTCTCAGCGAAAACTAATCCTTACACGAAAGAAGCAAATTGTAGTTTACCGTCTTCACTAGGAACCCAGAAAACAATAGCCCAAAGTAGTTCACTTGTGCTTTCAATTCCAAGTAAATGGAAGAATTTGATGGTCACCCTTACAGGTTATGGGCTAACAGCTAGGCAATGGATGGGCTGCCTGTGAATGAGGTCCCCACGGGGTCAGGCTGTGCTCAGGAAACACAATGGTGAAGAAGACCAGGCTGCCTTCAATAAGGGCTGTGGATATAGGCTCTAGGACACATATTCTTTACACATTCCAAATGTCTATTACAAGCACTAGATGCATGACAGCCTTCCGATTTGATGCCATTATTAAATTGTTCTGATTGTACATTCTAAATCAGAGCAAAACAGATGCTTTATGAGGAGCCTAACTCACAGAATTCCAAGGGCTTCACTGTGAACAGCCAAAGCTCACTCTGCTGGGCCTTCTTACACAGTTCCTCTCTCATAATCAGGCAGCAATCAGATCTGAGGCTTCCTTCTCTCACCAGAGGCAGCACGGCACGCCTCTACTATATTCTGCCATATTTTACCTCATTTTCCCACAATGAATGGCTAATCTCATCTTTTTCAAATTATCTCCCAACATTACTATTTCCAATGTTTTCATTGTTAGAAGTCAAACATTTCCAAGAACACCACCACCAAAAAGCAATGAAAACTGGCTTTTCTTAGTAGGGGAGGCATTGTAAGGCCCTGTGGGGACACAGTCTTGGCCTTGGCATGGATCTTATCCTCCAGGGGAGGAAGTCCACACATGAATAATTACATCAGGAGTAAGAGGATCAAGTACCTCAATAATATACTACAGCAGAAAGAAGTCAGGCTCTCAGAGAGGTCAGTGCCAAGAAACCTTCAGAAAATCTTCCAGGTAACAATTAGGCCCAGTCTTTCCGAGGAAGGGGTGCATATTCAAAGAGTGGGGCCAAGCTCCAGGCCCAGGCAACCTTCAAGCCTGAGTGAACTATTACTGGTCAGCCCTAACGACCCTCCTCAAGGCCCAGCTCAGCCCTTGCTCTCTTTCCCTCATTCGCCACCTGCCTCTTTCCCCATTCCTCTCCACCGCGTGCTCTTCACGGTTTTGGTCTTCTCTGCTCAAGTCTCCTGCATAGTAATTCAAGGAGAGAAAAGCCTCCCTGCTTTCTTCCTTCCAGTAGTGGTGAACTTCCCGCACACGCACATGCCTCAGGGAGCTCTTTGTATTATGGAAAGCTCTAAAAGGTTTGCCATTACTGCTTCATTCCCTCTATGCCTACTATGTTTTTTCCAAGGAATTTATCACTAATGATTATTCATTACTATGGAAATAACAAACACTGGAAAGTTACAAAGTTTTTGTATTTGAAAGGCACATGTTGACGTATATTTCTGCCTGATAAACAAAAAGAACCTTGGATTTTGGCTGTTTTTGTTCCTGAATGGGGTCACTCAACCTCTTCAGTCTTTTCAACCTTGTCCTAGGCACCAGATTCAGCTGGTCCTTCTCTGAACCACTCCTCTCAGCACTTAAACCCACAAAATGGTAATGGTAGCAGGTTTTAAAGTGTCATCCGCATTTCTGTGATGCCTTCCGCTGGATAACACTGGGTTTGTTTTTTCTTCACTGGCAAACTGGAATTGGGGCATTGCCACTTTTAAGCAAAGGGCATTTTTGCATATGATAACCAAATTGGCACAATGAGTTGGAATTTTAAGGATAAAGAGCACCATCTTTAGAATCGTTCAGTTGTTAGGCAAATGCATTAACCACTCCACTACAGAAATCACCCTCAGAATCACTGTAGTTGCATTCAAGTGCCACAGCATTGGAGGTGGAAGGTAGACGTCTCAAGAAATCCCCTCCTTACTGTTTCATTGAATGGAAACTGGCTCATGAAAGGCTATTTGGAAGGCTCAGGAAAAATCTTTGGAGGAAAAGGTATAAAATAATCTCAGAGAAATTATCATCAGCAGAGCAACTGGGTATGGCCCAAGTTTAAAAGCATAGGTGAGGTCTGAGGGTAGAATAGAAAAGCAGGCCAACACACAAGGGCAGGAGGCCAGAGCCACCTTCATTTCCTCAGTCAAGGTCGAAGAAAATTAAGATGTTTGAAAATTGAGACAGGATTTAGGAAAGCTGCATTGAGCAACCTCATGAAGGATCCCCTTGGTCAAGAATGAGGTGAGATTTGAAAAAACTGGAGGAAGCCTAAGTGGGGTAAGGGCTTTAGAAGAGGAGAAATGAGACCGATTAGGAGAAGTACTCTGGGTTATGCGCCTGCATACTTGGAATCACCTCCTCCTCAGGAAAAGACGGTAAGGAATCAGTGAAGACCCAGGCAACTAAGGAGAGTCACATGGAGAGAAAACATTCTCTCAGGCTTTCACAGAGAGCACATTGGCCAAGCAATGGCCGTGACTCATCCACATGGCTGACACTGACAAAGGTTCTATAATCTGAGATACAGGATCTCAGGATAAATCCTGAGGGGATTTGACTGACCTTATCAGACCCAAAAGCTACAACTCTTGTTGCATAGGTCCTGCTTTACCTTGGTCTTAACCATCCAGCAGTAAAGTATAAAAATGAAGTATAAGAAGTAAAGCCATAGTGTTATATTGAGCTGTAGGGGACTCAGGTCAACAATTTCTGACATTGCCAGTGAAGCGCAAGACCCAATACTATTATGGACTACTGGACTCTTTTAGAATATTTTGCTGAGTTTACACACCTATAATATTTAAATGATGGAACTTAACAAAAAAAGGGGATACAGATGAATGTCCATTTTGTATCTGTGTATTCAAAGTGGTTAGGATAGATATATAGTTACATTCTCTTAATGAATAGAGGGATTTGTTCTAATGGTGTTTATAAATAGGATATCAAGTCCGCATCTTGTACAACAATTAACCACTAGGAAGAATGTATGCAATGTGTTAATTATTGAAACTGTCCTACCAATTTGGTTTGAAACTGTCTCATTGCTATTTGTTTCTCAATGAAATTATGGGAAAAAAATGAAAACTAAAAGTAAAAAATAAAAATAAGAAAAAGAAAACTAAAAGAAAAAAAAAAGAAGTTAACTGTGAAAAAATAAATAAATAAAATCCATGAAATGGTTTTTCCCTTTTACATTTACTTAAATAAATGGCTAGCTTTGACCAAAGGGGGGCGGGGGAAAAAAAAAAGACCCAGGCAACTGAAGATAACACCAACTCTTAGTGTGGATGAGTGTTTTCTTAGCCTTACCTAGCCACACTTTGTTAATAGGGTTAGTTCAAAAGAGAGCTCTCAGCTTAGTATAACAAGAAAAAAATAATGTTGAGGGAAAACTTAGTTTAGGAAACACTATTTATGAGGGATTTTAGTAATACTTTAATCATTACAAACATGAAATACCCAATATCAAAATACTAACCACAAGTGTTCTGAAAAATTACAAAAAGAAAAGATTACTTCAAAACAAAATTAGCAGTTTTCTTCTTTCTATGGTAGCCAAAGGCAGAAAGAGGAAATACCCATTTTTTTTTCCTTTTAAGTAAATAAATCTTCATTGGTTAGATTTTATTGTTTTTCATTTTTTAAGCATCATGGGAGTTTTATTGTGCGGTAAAACTCTTAAGCTATCAATACAAATGCCAGGATACTACATAAAACATCCACAGGAACTTTTTTCAACTTTCATTAGATTTTACTGAAAAATCTAAAAACCTAAATCATCGGTACATTGATAGTACATTAAAATTTTTTACTTACAAAAAATTTACATTTTACCTTTTCTATTTACTTATACACACACCCAAAAAAAGCCAAAAGATGTCAAAAGCACCTTATTCCGTGATGGTAAGTCATGAGACAGCATGCCTTAACCTTTGCTGTTTCCTTCCTAATTCTAAAAATACTTAGGGAGTTCAAAAAGTTCACCTGTTTTGTTTGCTCAATAGCCCCATCCTACCAGTTGTCAAATCATTTAATTTGTTTTCTCAAACTACCATATTAATATGCATCTAAGGTTATCTCTTTGTAATCCTCAGTGACATCAATATAAAAGAAAGTAGTAAAGTATATTATCTAACCTAAAGTTCAGACCAGTAGTTAGACACACTTAGCTTGCACACATTAATCTGTTTCCCTCAATCAAACACTTACAAATTCCAACATCTTATTAGCTTTTTCACACAAGATGGTCCCTCTTGGGCCCGGGGAGTTAGCTCAGTAGAATAAGTGCTTGCCTGGCAAGCGCAAGGGCCTGAGTTCAATCCCCAATTCTGAAAAACAAACAAAAACAAAACAAACAAACAACAACAAGAAGAAAAAAAAAAACCCAAGTTTTTTTTTGTTTTTTTTTTTTTTTTTTTTTTTTTTTTTAACTAAAAAGGTTAGTAGAGAAATAGCAAACACTTCCCTTTTTCTCAAGTGAAATCATCAGAAGCTATGAAGACCAGCCTCTGGCACCTGTATCTGTTTCCTTCCTGTAACTTCTTAGGGAAAGAGCATGCACCTGTCAAGCTCATAGTGAAGATCGAAACACTGGAGTGTTTAGTAAATGTGTCAATGGAGGGTGCTTAGAGGTTTGTCTTGGGAAGCAAAACTGCGTGTTGATCGTTGGCATTGATCATACAATCCATAAATCAGTTTCCTTACAAAAACATCACCCATGGTTGGGCCTTATGGTGCAACCCTCTAAGTTCAGTACTCAGAAGGCTGAGGCAGGAGGATCACTACGACTTCGAGGCCAGCCTGGGCTCATGGAACCACACAGCGAAATTGTTTCAAAAAGAAAAAAACAAAACAAAACCCATCATACATAGAAAACCCTTACTGAGTCTTTTTTAAGAAGGCAAAATGGGTTGAAGACCCAAAAATTTGAAGCAAGATCAGAGAGGGGAGTGGTAATAAACATAGTAAAATTCAAATGTCCAGATAGGGGACAGCGATTTAAAGGATAGTGCAAAACTCACCTGGAGAAGCAGAAGGGGTGTTGATGGCAAAGAGTATAGAGCCTCAAGGGCTTCACAGAAGCTGTAAAACTGAAACACCCACCGTTGGGCTCTTACTGTCAAGGATAAATCTAGGGGTTCAACTGTTCGTGCCTTTGACGCCAGGGGCCAACCATGCACAGCTAGGTTGACAGTAAGGCCCACAAACCTGCCCCAGCATTCAGAGCCAGCTCTCGGGATGCCCTAGTACTCCTTACTCCCACAGCCTCCCGCGCTGAAGGCCCGAGACTCCTTCATCTTCACTCCCCACCTTCTCCAGGCCCTCTTGCTCTTCACAGCATCGGTCTCTATGGCGACCTGAAACCGCAGTTCCCATTGGTCCGTTCAATGTGAGGGCCGGGCCAATGGGGAGAGCCAGCCTTCTCCTGGCGACCAATGGGGCTGGCGGGAAACCTGTCCGAGACGGCGGCGTGCTGACGTTCCCGGGAGCCTGGGGCCGGCCGGGCAGGCGGGCTGGCGGCTGGGCGGGCGACGGCGGCGGCCTGCGGGCAGCAGAGGGGGCTCCGGGGCTGAGTCCGC